CCCCCCCCCCCCCCCCCCCCCCCCCCCCCCCCCCCCCCCCCCCCCACGTTCTGCATTTTTGCAGGGATCAAGCTGGCGGGGGACACGCTAGGAGCTGGTCTGCAGGAATTCTTGGGCGACAAGGACAAGATGGTGGCGGCCACCGCGACCTTGACGGCCATGGCCCTCGGGATCTACACCGCTAGGACAGGCACAGGTTCGTTCACGCGGGGCGGAGGGGTGGCGATCTTTCATTTGAAAAGAGAGCGGCGAAGTCGAAAAATTCCCCATCTGAAAGCCCCGACTCATTTCACGCAGAGGAGATGCTTCCCTGCTTTGTGTGTTTGGGGCGGCATCGAGCCGGTTGCTAGGGAGGGCTGGGCTCGAACCCTACCATTAGCTATTTGCGTGCGCAATGTGTGTTTGTTGCCGCGTTTGTTCTCGTTGATGTTGCGGACATCTTGTTCGTGCCCACGGTCTTGCCGCCAGCAGCGGTATGCATGGCCACTTGACTTTTGCCGCTGCCGCACCTTGGAAGGCTGACGCTATAAGTCGTTCATCGCCCTGGAGCCCCCCGCTTAAAGCTTCCGGTGCAACGACTCCTGGCTATTTGCACACGTACGTTGTGCAGGCGTGGCCGGGCGTTACATCGAGGCACGACTTGGAAAACCTTCGTTGGTTCGGGAAACCTCAAGGCGGACGCTTATCCAAACCGTCCGCAACCCCATCCCCACCATTAAGCGGGCCTTCGGCATGCACAAGGTGGGCGTGCGTGGCTTGACCCAATTGCCTGTGGTGGGGGATTCGATGCGTGTTTGTGCTGCGTGATGAGCGTGTTGGCGAGGCGTGGATGGTGAGTAGCGGCAGCGGCAGCCGCAGCCGCAGCCGCAGCGCGCACAATGCGACCGGGTAGGATTGAGGTGGAGGCTAGATTGAGATCGAAGTGGTCCGTGATATCGTGTCGCCTTCTTTATTTGCATAAGGTTTTGCGACATCCATAAGTCAGAAGGGTACTGGACCTTTCACGCATGCGCCGTGATCGCTATTGCGGCATTCCGGCTTTCTCACTGCCATCCAGGGGCGAGGTTTGAGCAACTTCAAATTCGGAAAGACAATATTTCAATATTTCCTCATCTAAGGTCAGTCGTTGAACCCCGCTTCTCTTTTTGTAGTCATTCCAACGTTCTGACTGCCAGCCAGGGGCGAGGCTTCAGCGACTTCCAATTCGGAAAGTGATTGTTTTAATATTTCCTCGTCATCTAAGGTCAGTTGTTCAACCCCACTGCTCTTTTAGTAGACCACACATATCTGCCGTTGTTTCGGTCGGCGGTTGTGATCGCTCTGAGAGCCCGAATCGACCCACCCACTCTGCCAACCTCGACCAATCACGTATCACCTTAACCAACGAGGACCAATCGCATGGGTTCATCACAAGGCATGGCCGACAATCAGTCATGTAACCCATCCCTCTATGGTACCCGAATATGCCATGCTGTCTCGATGTTTCGAGTATGTCACGTTACGCCCACCATACACTATCGCGTGCCACCAATACAGCAGGACTAGCATATGCGTATACGGCATGAGCCGTTTATGCATGTACCGCATGAAACAAACCGATCAACAACGTGGAACGTATATCCGTGCACATGCATCGACGACGGCAGGTGGAGGACGCCCTTAGCGGCGTCGTTTTGGAGAAGAGCCTCGAGACGCGACTGTCGAGAGTGGCTCAGTCGACCTTCAACACCAAGCGGAATAGCGCGCCTTTCAGACACCTTCTCCTCTACGGTGCGACTCGATACTTTCTTGTAGCCACTGGACACATGCATGTGTTTTCTTCTTGTGTACCGATGACAGACGAGAGCCGTGCAAGTGTTGAGTCATTTGCACTGATATGTATCCACGACAAATTGTTCTTAATCGTATTCAGGATCGCATCTCGTTACCCCACGGTTTCAACTCTGCTGGGTTGACAGGTTTCCAGCGGAATGGATTGCCCACACCACCGCCAACTGTTTACCACGACACAAGAAAGCACCTCCCGGTGATATCTAACATTTTGGCCTGTATAAAAATGGTCACGGGGTGCGTGGGGTATACGGCACGTGTCTCGTGTCGCCCGGGTGTACATATACTGATTCATCTTAGTTTTTTGTTTTGGGCTCATGGTGACCCACTACAACATCCCCACCGGGTGTTGGTGTTGCGTGTGGGGTGCTGTTGACTTACGCGGATGTGTCATGTTTGGTCGAATACAGTGTGTGATCACCATCCGCCTCTTTCGTTTGGGTTGCTTTTGGTGACGACTTTTTTTTTTTCGACAGGACCCCCTGGTACCGGTAAGACTCTCTTCGCCAAGGGATTGGCGCGCCACTCCGGCCTGGAGTACGCCATCATGACAGGTGGCGACATCGCCCCACTGGGAAGGGACGCGGTCACGGAGATGCACAAGGTCTTCGACTGGGCTCAGGTGCGGGGTGGAGGATTGTTCATTCTTTCCTGCGCGTCGAGGAGCCTGTTGTTTTATTTTTCTTTCTTGCCAGTTTTGTGGAAAACACGCGAACAAATACACAGAGACTTCCCGTCCGAGATATAAGCACACTCGTTTTTTTCCGGAACCGAAGAGTTTGTTGGTCGATGCTGCTGCGCTGCCTGGCTGTTTCGTGTCGCGATGAACTGATCGTTGGTTTGGTTCCGTCTCGCAGCATCTTTCGGAATGAAATATCACTCGGAATCGACGGCGAGAGACCTGGGGCAGTAGATGATAGCTCCCTTGTTCATGTGGCAGTCGGGTGCAAACACACCTACACACCCTTCCGCCTGGTTGTTGACCTTTGCTTTTTCATGCGAGCCGAGAGGGATTGACCACGAGGGTAAGTGTTTCACTGAGTGCCCCCCCCCCCCCCCCCCCCCCCCCCCCCCCCCCCCCCCCCCCCCCCCCC